GTATCTGTTCATATACTTTCTCAACCTACTGAAACACAAAGAGCTAATAACGCCTCCACCGAAGCTCGAACTTACAACCTTCCAAATGGAAGTCCATTATTAATTTTTTTAAAATATCGTTATTTGTTGGTTTTTATGTCTTCATATTTGATTTGTGTGTGTGTGTGTGAAACTTAAGGTCAACTCATTAAGGTGTTTTAATTTGCATTACGCTACCATCATGTAATGTTGTATCTATTTTTAGGAATTAAAATTAATGCATAATCTTAATCTTTTATAAAGCTAGCAACTACCCACTCCTTATCACTTTTACATATTAATTTACCCTCTATATATAACATAGCTTTCATATGATTATTTATGAAATTATTGACATGGCTACCCACTCCAAAAAAAAAAAAACAAAAAAACAAAAACAAAAACACAAAAAACAAAAAAAACAAAAAAAAAACAAAACAAAACAAAAACAAAAAAGAATAAGGTCCAAATTAGCCACTAAACTAACATGAAAATGTAATTAGGCCACTGAACGAAAAAAAAATGTGCAATTTGACCACTGAACACTCTAAATATATGAAATTTGACCTAATAGCAGGTTGTCTCTGGAATGTGCAAATTATATCGTGCACCGCGGTGCATAATTTATTATGCACCGAGCTTCAAAACGACGTCGTTTTGTTTAATGAAAAGAAAAGGCACGCGTTTCGCGCCGTTTCGCAAAAAGTAACTCTGTTATTCAGTTTCATTTTGTATACACTGCATTTTCAATTCAACACAACTACAGTTTCATTTCGATATAGCTACAGTTTCATTCGACATTTATACAGTCAAATATGTGAAAATGTCATTCAATTTTATTTTATATATACGATAGTTTCATTAAAACACAACTACATGATCATTTCGATATAACTATAGCTTCATTGCACAATATACACTCAAATATGTGAAATGTTATTCAGTTTCATTTTATATAAACTGCAGTTTCATTTCACCACAACTACAATATCATTTTGATATAACTGCAGTTTCATTTGATAATATATAAAATAATACGTGAGGCAGTGTCGGTTTAGATACACTGTAGTGTCAGTTTAGATACAATGTAGTTTCAGTTGGTAATTAACACACCAAAAAATGCGCGCTCCGTTAACAGTAATGCCACGCCGTTTCTTTACGTAAAGAAACGACGCCGTTTTGACCGCGGTGCACGTGCACCGCAGTCCACGATATAACGACTGATTGTTAGTTCGAGTCATGCAGCTGAAACCCGCGATCCAATCACTTAGTAGTTTCTCAAAACTCCCCCACAACATGTAGGTTCATTGCAAGAAACGAAGGAGGCGTCCATATTCAAGACCAGCCAGTCGTGCACTGGTTCCTCCTCACGCAACTCTTCCGAGTGTTGCTAGATTTACATTTCTTATGTGATTCGTAGGCTATTACTAAGAGTGAAATTTTTGCCAATAGCACATCTTCAAATAATGGCTAGGGGTTTACCTCATTATCCATAAAATTTTAAGAGCAAATATTGCTCATCAAACCATGCACGTGAAATGTCAAAGTCAAGTGGTATGAATTAAATGCACGAAAGCAACTCATATAAATCATCTTTTTTAACAGCACATGTATGGTGTGCTTTTCGATCACCTTCTTTTGCAGATGCACGGCCTATGCTACATGGTATTTACGGAGTAGTCTTTCGCCCTCAATTCTCCCTAATCCCACTTTGTCACATAAGGTTTAAATCCTCATCTAACTAGAATGAGATTATCCAAAAAAAATTGATAATTAATAGGGCAATCGATCTAAAATTTTGATTTTTGATTATTAATTTTTTTTAAATAACATTATTTGTGGGTTTCTATGTCTTCATATTTGAATTTTTGTGTGTGAAACTTAGGGTCAATTCATTAAAGTCGTTTAATTTGCATGACGCTACCATCATGTAATGTTGTATCTATTTAACGGAATTAATGCATTTTCTTAATCTTTTATAAAGCTAGCAACTACCCACTCGTTATCAGCAACTATACACTTTTACATATTAATTTACCCTCTATATATAACATAGCTTTAATATGGTTATTTATGAAATTATTGACATGGCTACCCACTCAAAAAAAAAAAAAAAAAAAAAAAAAAAAAAAAAAAAAAGGAATAAGGTCCAAATTGACGATTGAACGTAACCTAAAAAAGCAATTAGACCACTGAACGAAAAAAATGTACAATTAGACCACTGAACGCTCCAAATGTATGCAATTTTACTTAATAGCAGGTTATCATCCATTTCATCAGGTTGCCTACGTTACGTGGATGGTGAGTTGTCATTTTTAATAATTTTCAATAATAAATTTTTAAAATAAAAATAAAAATAATTTTAAAAAACGCCGGGTGGCCGGTGGGCACCCCCTTCCCCGCCCCCTTCATCCTTCATCTCCGGTTGGAGACAAAGAGATTTGTCTTCGTCTCCAAACTGGAGACAAAGACACGTCCTTCGTCTCTAAAGTCTAAACCTTTTTTCGTCTCCGCCGGAGACGAAGGAAGGGGGAAGGGGGGTGGCATGAGAAAGGTCTTTCGTCTCAAGCTACCACCTTTCCCCCTCCTTCGTCTCCGGCGGGGACGAAGGAGGAGGGGAAGAGGTGGGTGGCCACTCAATGTTTTTTTTTTTTTTTTTTAAAGTTTATTATTGAAAATTATTTAAAATGACAACTCACTATCAACGTAAACAGATAACATGATGAAATGGATGGTAACCTACTATCAAGTAAAATTGTGTACATTTGGGATGTTTAGTGATCAAATTAAACTTTTTTTTTTTTTTCGTTCAGTGGCCTAATTACATTTTTAGGTTACGCTCAATAGCTAATTTGGACCTTATTAAAAAAAAAAAAAAAAAAAACCCACTCCTTTTATGAGCTATACTTTTACCTATTAATTTATCCTATCTATAACATAGCTTTTATATATGGTTATTTATGCAATTATTGACATGGCTAGGTGATGAACATTTAACTTTTTTGACACATTATAAATAGTATCGATAATAATTTTAAATAAATTTGAGTTGATATGTTTTGTTATTTGAATCTTATAAATTTAAAATTTGTCATTCGATTCGTATTCAATCGGTTAAATCTGTTATTAGCGAATTAGGTTGAATCAACTCCACTAACGAATTTTTCTAATCCACGTTTAATAAATTGTATAAGAATTTGTTTTAAATTTGCTTGCCCTTAATAATAACCAAATTAAATGATTAATTCTAGGATAGTATTGTGCATTTAATTCACCCCTCTCATATATATCGCTTTTGAAGTGGAATCCTATACCTATGCTAATCTACTCCCTACATGGGAAACTTGCATGGCAGCTTTATATTTATGAGCATTTAGTATATCCATTTTAGTTCATTCGGTTTTGAATTGTCAAATTTAATTCGTACTTATTTAAAATTGTTTTTCGATTAAAAATTCTTGACGTTAACCTTAAAATATCAAATTATCAAGTGAGTGAATTCAACTTTGACATTTTTAAATTAACATAAACTTTCAATTTTAATAAACTAGTACATTTAGATTAATAAATATAAATTTATATTAATCAATCAGTCATATTCTCCATTTCCAAATTTAACTAAAACTAATTAATATATTTACACTATAATATAATAATAATATAGTAATTGTGTTATTTTTCATTATTTATTTTTTTAGAAAAAATATTTTATTTTGAAACAAATTCATTATAATTTTGTTTACAAATTTAATTAAAAAAATTTTAAATATAAGTTTACAAAATAAATTTCCAATACATTTTTTTCACATCAATTATGAAATAAAGAATAGCTGGTTTATGTGGCCCGTGCCATCGGACTACCCCATTTAGAACATCAAATTGATTTTTTGTTGAGATAAAATTATTTTGACCTTAACCTCAAAATGTTTCCTTAAAAGAGCCAATTAATTATTATTTTGGGATTAAGATTAACTTCCCTACATGGCTACATGCAATTGAGAGATATTATTTTATTCATTCGGATGGATTTAATTAACTTGAGGTGGCTCGAATTATTAAATCCGGATAAGAACGTATATAATAAAAGGATAGAAACGATGTCGTAAAGACCGTGAAGACCGTATATTGTATTATATGCCGAAAATAGGTTATTATAGTGATTCGTCATTACAAAGTACATAAGTAAGATAGAATGTCCCTTAATCGGACCAAGGGAGGGCCTTTTATACAAGTCATGGCCTCCCAACTATCCTCCTAAATCGGGGGAAACGGTTGCCCCGCGTTGACCGCGCCCGGTCCGGAGACCGGTCACGCGACCAAGGTCGGACCGAGCTCGTCTGGAGGTCGGTTCGACCCCAATCCGACCCCGTGCCGAGGTCATGTGCCGAGGCCTCACACCGGGGCGAGTACGCGGTACCGCCCCAGGACCCGTTCTTGTTCCGCGCTCTCGGGTTGGTTCGAGTCGATTCGTAATATATCCATCACATTCCATTCCATCCCAATTGTATATATATATATATATATATATATATATATATATATATATATATATATATATATGTATTTAAATTTTAGATGCAAAACTGTTGTCCCTTAAGAGAGATTGGAGGTTTGAACCTCATTTAATATGAAAAAATTAATCTGGTCAGCACTTTGTCTTTAATTGGATTAACTCAATACGAAGGAGGATTAATTTGAGTATGGTAAGGTGCCTCCTACTGTTAGAATCTGCTCAGAACCCTTCGTGTTATCACCCAAAAAAAAAAAAAAAAAAAAAAATTAGATACAAATATACACATTAATCCCTATCATTCTCCGTTCTCGTACATCCATTACTCCTACCCATCCATATCCATCTATCCCATTATATATATCAACACCTCTCTCCATCATTACTCCAATTCACAAGCCTTCTGATCTCTTCATTCAATCATATACCTATCTACTTTCTTCATCTCTTCAACGTAACTTTAACACTTCTCTATTTCTAAATCCTCCCTAGCCTTCTCTTGAACTGATTCAACACTTCTCCACTTCCAATACCTTCAATTCTCTTGATTGGATCAAAAATGGAGCTCAAACTTCTCTGCATCATCACTTTCACTGCAATACTCTTAGTTTGCTCTCCGCCATTAGCCGCCGGGGCGGAATGCCAAAAATCCCCAATTATCTTTAACTTTGGCGACTCCAATTCCGACACCGGTGGTTTTGGCGTCGCTTATGGATCCCTCCTTGGCTACCCTAATGGTCGCAAGTTCTTTCACCGATCTTCCGACCGTTTCTCCGATGGACGTCTAATCATTGATTTTCTCTGTAAGCAACATCAATCTTCCTTTATTATTTCACTAACTAAAATTTATGTATAATCACCTACACTAATGCATGCCTCTATATATATATATATATTCACAGGTGACAATGTGAAGATGGATTACTTGTCTTCATATTTAGAATCATTAACTTCAAACTTCAAGAATGGAGTCAATTTTGCCGTAGGTGGTGCAACGGCATTCCCAAAATCTAATTTTTTCTCTTTGAAAACTCAAATCAAAGAATTCAGTCGGTTTCACTCTCGCTCCTTGAACTTCCACTTAGAAGGTTTTTTTTTTTTTTTTTAATTAAAAATATCAATCATAAATATATATTTTAAAAGTTTAGCTAAATTGTTTAATTGTTATAATGCTAAAATCTAATTATAAAGCAGGGGTCAAGGGTATGTTCGATAGAGAGGACTTTGGCAATGCCCTATATATGATAGATATAGGGCAAAACGATATTACCCTTGCATTTTACAACCACACAAAACTTGAAGTGGTAGTTCAACAAATACCCTTCCTTATATCTGAAATTAAAGATGCTATTGAGGTATACTCAATTCTTTCTTTTTTATTTAATTTATTTTCCAATTCAATAACACATGTATTTAATTGCAACAAATTAAACTTGATTAAATTATATATTTATGTATATGACTTTTGTATTTGTATGTACATGTGTATATATAAGTATTTGTACAAAGCTGGCGGGAGAATGTTTTGGGTGCACAACACCGGCCCAGCTGGTTGTCTACCGCAGATGCTTGCCACAAAAGTGGGTGATTTTGACGAGGCCGGCTGTCTCAAGCCTCTAAATGAAGCTGCCCGGGAGTTCAATGCCCAACTCCTTAACCTTTCTGCAAATCTGCGAGTTGAGTTAAAGAATGCTACGGTGGTGTACGTGGATATGTACACCATCAAATACGATCTCATTTCCAACTCCGCTCTCTACGGTAATTTTTTAATTAATCTCCCAATCTACACACTTTTTTGTAAAGATTTTTAATTATTTTATGTATGTTATTACATTAGGGTTTGAGAAGCCATTAATGGCATGTTGTGGAGGTGGCGGTGCACCCTACAACGCTGACCCCAAAATATTGTGTGGGACGACTGGATATACCGTGTGCGATGAAGACACCAGATTTATCAGTTGGGATGGAATACACTATACTGATAATGCAAATGCGGTGTTCGCAGCAAGAATTGCGACCACAAATTATTCCACCCCTCCCCTCAGATTTGATTCATTTTGGTGTTGAAAGGCACACGTAGTAGCTTGGTTTTATTTGTAACATAATTGACACTTAGATTGATATATATATGTTGTTTTAATGTCAAATGTCTCAAGAAATATAATTTAATCACTCATACCAAAATATTGGGACTCAAATTATGAATTGATGAATTTGTTATTGAGTTGACAATAATCCCACATCTTTTCTCCATCAATATGTTCGGCATGATCAGGTAAAAGCTTGGGATCTGTAAAAGCTATTTGATTCTTCAACCAAACACCATAACAATGCTTTCCCATCCTTTGAAATTGCGTACAACAATTGGGAAAGAAGATATCGTCATTTACCGGATCGAAGTTAATATCATATATCTGAATATCATATAACCCAAAATATGATAAAAAACAGTCATTATGAGGGCTCTCAAAATATGAGAATGTACATGTCCCATTTTCGGGTTGGTAACTATTGGGTTGTGCATCGCTTACATTTTCCGTATCAAACATTGCATACGAAAGTCTTATTGTGTCGTAGGCTAACAACAAACCGAATAAAAAATATATCTTCAAATTCATCGCTAGTTATTTAATTTGTAAGTATTGGTTGTAGGTGTTCATTCATAAACCAACATGGTCTTATTAATGAGCATTTTAAAGACATGTATTGTTTTAATAATTTTATAACTTACATTTTGTCATTAAAAATAGGTAATAAATTTAAGATAATAAATAACTTATATACGTTTATATATACAAAATTTCATAACATTAAAAAAAAAAAATCACAACAAAAGACACATAGCATTATGGACCCTGAATTAAACGTAGAGGTACAAAGTTCATACTCGTAAAGTACAGAATTTCATAACACAAGACACATACACATGTTATATAGTTACTTATTTTTCAAATCTAATTTAGGTATATAATTTGTGAGTGCTAACATAATGTTGAGCATATAATATATAAACATAAATGTGCAATCCAACTATCAGCTTAGGCTTTTAGTTGAGATAGAGCACATGCTTCAATTCATAGCACTAATCGTGAAAATGATTCAAATTCTTCCAAAAAAATTGAATCCTCAACCCCTAGGGCTCATATTACCCTGACCCGGTGATTCAAATTAGCACTTCACGTGAAGTGCAGTGCTAAACATTAACACTTCATAATGCTAAACATAATTAGCACTATTCATAAGTGTTACCAAAAGCACTTCAAAGCTTTCGTAACTTTTTACTTCTCTCAAATGCTTTGAAAATTCAATTTTTCATTTACTTATTACGACTCGTTTTGAGCGTACAATATATTGATTTCTTTAACTCACTACGAAGAGTACAAATCCACTTTGACCCGACTCAAATTGAAAGTGAACCTCACATATATTTAACCATAAAATAGCCACTCAAATTACCATTTTATGCAAAAATTCCAACACTTATGACTTGACATCCAATATATATGCTTCTTAAGGATTCAAGACAAATATAAATTCATTGCTAACTTCTCAAGAGTAATGGCTACCGTCGTACCGACTAGAGGTTAGGATTACAAGGCGTGAGTTACCTGATGCACGCCATTAGATAGTGAATTAGTGACTACGAGTTTTTTCATGACAAAAAAAAAAAAAAAAAAAAAATTATTGATAGCAAATTATCTTTATCTCTCCTATTAAAATAAAATTGAATATTGCTATATGTATGTACCGAACTTCTTTTAAAGACTTAACCTGTTGTGATTTCCAATTTCCTTAATTCACCAATCACCATTGCACATACTCATTTTATATATTGCACACACAATCAAAAAATTGAAATGGATAGTACCTAACGGTCCTAACATGCGATATTATATAGATTATTCAAAATATATATGCAATAATTTTTGAAGATACACCCCAACGAGGATAGAGATCCGTTAAACGAACAGCGATGGTTTACACCAAAAAATAATCTTTGAAGATACAAGTCACGTGATGCATCATACCACACCAAAATAAAAATAAAAATAAATAACAAAAAATTGAAGATACAAGTCATGTGATGCACTGATGCATCATACCATGCATGCAATGCTCCATCTATTACTAGGAATTAAATCTAACACTACATTTTCCTTGTCCTCCTATAAAATTAACCACGAAACATATATTTATTATAACAACAATTTTACAAATTCATAGTAATTACTTACCCTTTATATTAGATTAGATTTAATTTTTTTTATTATAAAGGAAGGGGATACCTTACATATACACACTACTTGTCTCAAGTGAGGTTCAAACCTATCACCTCCCACTTAGGAGAGTAACCCGATACCAATGGATCACAAGCCACTTAGTAGATTAGATTTAATTGTCACTATAGTAATTTAAAATGATATTATTTTTAACACTTTAATTACTATTGCTATCAACTAAATAACTAATATAATTCGCTATTAATTATCAAACACCCAAACATTCCAATATCCCAATCAATCACTTGAAGAATTATAATAGTTATTGCGTGGACCCCGATTCACACAGTTGTGTGGACCATGGTCCAAAAACAACGTCATTTTGTTTAATTTTATTTTTTCGCAAACCCAACTGTAATATATATTTTTTATAACTTATAATGTACATTATTCCAAAACATAATGTACATTATTATATAGCATAATGTACATTATTTTAAAACATAATGTACATTATATTACCTAAATGTTTCATTATTCAACACGTAATGTATATTATTTTAACACATAATGTATATTATTGTAACACGTAATGTACATTATTTTAAAACACAATATATATTATTCTAACACATAATGTATATTGCTTTTACTCATACTATTCATAACGATATTTTGAAACTGTGTAGAGTGTAATTTGCCGAAGAATTAATGGTAGGCTTGTGTACGGGATGTGTATAGAAAAGAAAAGCTACCAGATCGAATGGAATGAGTACATGCATAGTCGCATAGGCCACATAGGTCTCATTCATTATAATATTGTGTCGTTTATTGGAGTAACCAAACACAAAAGTTCAAGCAATTAATCGATTAAAACGATATTTAACAATATAGTAAATTTGGTATCAATTTTACCATTGGGAGTAGGTGATATATATGAGGATTTATTTTTACTTGCTAATAAATAGACTTACTATGAGTAAACTTTTTTTTTTTTTTTTTTTGGGAATATGAGTAAACTGTTTTAATATAATAGTTACAAGTGTCAAGTGTGCAATGGCAAGTGATTTACTATATTTCTATATATATATATATATATATATATATATATATATATATATATATATATATATTTGATCTTATTGCATGTGTTTGACCCAAATAAAGTTATGAAGAGTAATAAATTTAATACACAATATTTCACCCAAGATACTAAAAAGAAAGGGTGAGTCCTCACTTTTGAGATCAAACCATCTCATAAATTCTTATATGTGAAACAAGTGAAATCAATATAAAATGTAAAACTTATTTTGAAAAATATAGTACTAATGAAAAATAAATTGTTTATTACTTATAATGAAAAGTCTAATATTTAGAAAAAAAAATGTAATATTTTAAAATAAAATATAATATTTGGGGGTTAAACATATATTTATGGCATCCATTTGATAGTTGAAAAGCACAACAATAACAATTAACATGCATGGGCGAAGCACACCACGTGAGGAATACAATTAAGTATAATTAATTCATCTCTTTCCTTGGTCTTAGGTGGGTGAGGAATTGAATTAGTAATGCCCATATGCTTGATGTTGATGGGCTAGATGCCTTGATTGAATAAAATAGAATTGATTCTGATCTTTAAATTGATGTTTGTAGGTACGATTTTACTAATAGGTATCTCCAAATAAAGCACAACTACTAGAAATGCTTGTATAATTAATACAAGGTTTGATCACTTCAATTAAAAAAATACAAAAGGGGATTATTTGAATGTTCTAAGGTTTGTATAATTATATATTGGATCCAGATTATATACTTTTACTTAGAGTGTGTTTTGTTGCTATAAGAGTAGAGTTTGAACACTAACCACACATTCACACACTTAATGCACACATTACACTAGGAGAGTATTTGAGTGTTAAGGAGAATTTGTACTTTGTTCTTGCTTAGGCGACTTTGGCTTGAATTACCACAAAAGTGGAGTCCAATGCGAAGTTATTAGTCCAACTAGTTTTTACAAGAGTAGTATTCGGACACTTATGTGATTCCGTGATTTATTTTTCAATCCATATATAGTACTCTATTTGGCCAACCAAATCACGATCCTTAATTTTACTTGTCTTATAATTTGAAATTGCTTAATTGCATCAACCCAACCAATTGATGATCAGCCTAAAATTATAGTTTTATCTTGTGTTTAACTCTAACTTTGCATCAATTCTTAACATTATAAAAATCATCTCCAGTGAAACGGTATCTTAACACTATACTGTCATTTTTTATACTTGATAGATGTAGAAATCTTGTCCTATCCCTTATTATTTCTCGACAACATTTGAACTTTATTTGAGATAGAGATTTGTCTTCATATATGAGACTTTAATTTTTATTGGAATAAGGGTCAAATAGGTCACTCAACTGCACACCAAAATGCAGTTAGGCCATCGAACTTAAAAAAGATGCGATAATTGGGTCGCTGAATAATACAAAATTATGCAATTAGGTCCAAAATGACATGTTTATCTGAAATTGTGGGTTACCAATTTAAAAATAATTTTAAATAAAATAATTAATTAAAATTTAAAAATTAAAAAATAATAATAAATGACAGGTATTCCATAATTCTTTTACAATTAAATCATACACATCATGATTTAAAAATTTAAGATCAAACTTATTTGATTCTGACCTGACCTCGGTCAATTAAAGTAGCAATTCCTTCCCATTTTTTAATCGTCAAACAACACTCTGCCATCATGTTGCTTAATTAGTTGCTGATAATACGACATATACAAAAATACCTAGCCAACAATATTCAGAAAGTGGCGGTTCAAACCTTGTACATGTACGTGTCTCACTTATTGCACCTCTA